TGGAGTGAAAGCCTGAGAGAAAGAGGGTTGTGGTGCTGGAGCAGTGGGAGGTGCAGGGCCCTGGGTGTGGGATCTGCAGATCTGCAGGGCTGTGGGATGGGGGAAAGGCTATGGAACCTGAGCAGGGAAAAGTGCAGGGAAGCACCTTGTCTGCATTCCTTGGCTTTGGACCAACAGGGAGTAAATATGTTGATTGATCTGTCGTTGATTCCACACCCCTGCACCTCTCAGCATCACACTCCCCGGGACTCTCTCCAGCACCCACGGCTCCCACAGCCTGCACTCACCTCGAGGCACCTGCACCCATGAGGACCTTGGCACCCTGGCACCAGCACCCTCACACCAAAGCTCCCCGGGTCCTCCCCACCGCAGCCTGAGCTGCCCCCTCAATGTGTCACCCTAAGTGGGAGGACATGGGCCAGTGCCTGCTGCCAGCTGCAGAAATCCGGGCAGGGTAAGGACCATTCACTTGGCTTTGGGCTCTTCAACGGCCCAAGGTAATGCCATGGGGATGGGAAGCAAAGCCCGGAGTGCTTGGAGCTTTAAAGGCTTAAACATCAGCCCCTCCAGCTCCAAAACCTTCTCCCCACATCCTGATTCCAGTGATTCCCAAGGCTCTCATGGCCTCCAGGGCATCAATTGAGATTTTGCATCTCTGCGGCCTGATCCCAGCTGTCATCCCAGGAGTCCCTCTGGCTCCAGCAGGAAGGGGAGCAGGAGGTTTCCTGTCTGCTTTGGGGGCAGCACTGCAGGGGCTGCTCATTTCAGACCCTCCTGTCTGCTGGGGACAGCTTTGCTCTTGGGGACACCGCTCTGCCCCAGCTCAGGGACACCAGCATTGCCCAGGGACGCCAGCATTGCCCAGTGCCAGGACCTTCTCAAGTGGGATCCCTCTGTGCACAGATCCTCCCCACCCCTGGGGGGCTGTGCCAGCACCCCCAGACACCTCCAGCTTCAGGAACCCGGACCAAGTAGAAAGCACAACTCTGCAAATGCTACATGTGCCCAAAGCAAATGGAAAGAGAGCTGGGGTGCGAAAAACAAAGACTATTTATTTACAGAAAAGCAGCAAAACGAATGAACTAGAGAATGGATTTACATTATAAGAATCTTTATACACAAGAGTGTATAAAATGTATTTACATTATCAGGGCCTATATAACAACAATAATGTATGAAATATATTTACAGAAGGACAACAAAACAATAACATATAAAACATATGTACAGAAGAGCCAATTCCGTGTCCAGCCTATCTGTCAGCCCTGGAAGCAAAGCAAGGGCACAATCATTCCAGTCAGGCCCTGCTGGGTGTTCCATTTGCCACCAGCCTGGGACACTCTGGGTAGAGCAGGACTCTGCTGCCAGGACTGAGACCAGCTGGGGATGGGAGTTGGATTTGGCAGGATGTTGGCCTGAACATACTGTGCTCTGCACATCTGGTGAATTTTTGCCTAACTTCAGAGTCTCTGACAGGAATAACCTCCTTAGGCTTGGCTGTTTTGGTCAGAAACTGCTTGCGCCGTTTGAGCTGAGCCAAAGAAGGATGCTATTTGAGGCATCCAACAACATCCATAATCTGCTGCTCTGATAACATCACAGAGTGGTTTTGTCAAGGTACAAAATTCCTCTCATAATTCCATAGAAATTATGTAAACCCTGGTCTGCAGAGCTGTTTCCCTTACATATTCTCCCTCTGCTCTTCTTTGGACAGCTGCTCAAGAACTTTTTCCTTCTTAAAGACCTTCAATACCTTCAATAGTACCTTATCTCCAAGGTGTCAGTGCCATGTCTGATGGGCTCGGCCTTGGCCATGGAGGGGATGTCACTGTGAGACACGAATACACCAAAACATCCTCAAAGAGGCCACGACGGAAAAGGTGATGAAATATGAACATCCTCAAGAACAAATTCAGGAACTAACAAATGCCACAGACATTGTGTTTAGGCTTTTCCCCTTGGAGCACGTGGGAAGTGGTACTATGGCAACTCTGAGCTTTTGAGGGCCCTGGATGTCTCCAGTTGGAGGCAGGAGAAGACTCCCCGGGCCCTGCTTCCAGGGCACTCTTTCCTCCTGCAGACATTGGACAGATGTTTGCTGCTCAAGCATGTGGTGTTGTATCATCTCAGTCACCAGTAAAGTTCCACAGGACATCAGGGATGGATTGTAGGTACAGATTGTAGGTAGAGGAATTTTACATGACGTGTCACAGACCATCTTGACCAAGGTGGACAGGCCAGCTGTACTTAACCTGGTGTATTGGGTTGCTATGGTCAGGTTCTGGGGGAAAGGGGGACTGCAGGGGGGGCTCCTAGTATAAGGTGCTGGGCTGTCAGTCCAGGCTGTGCCAGCTCAGCAGCTTTGGAGAAGTTCTCAGTGGTGTTGTTTGTTCCTTTCTCCAGGGATTTTCCCAGCTCTGCCACATCTTCCCCTCCCTTTCAGGATGTTTCCCTTTGGTATTGATGAATCAGGCTGGTTTCAGCTTTGTTCAACCCCAAAAGCAGTGTAACCCCCCTTCTTCATTTCCCACTGGGGGCTTGGCAAACAGGGCCTTGTTGGAATTCATTCACCCCATTCCAGGCAGAGCATCTTACTACAGGATCCCCATGGGATGCCCCTGTCAGCTGTCCCACTCCTTTTCCTCCCTCTCCCACCCCTTTCCCATCATCCCCACAATCCCCAGCTCATTTTGGGGTGTCCCCCCTCCCCCACCCTGCTCAGTTTCAGGGTTTCAGCCCCTTCCCACTCAGTCTGGGAGTTCAAAACCCCCCCTTCTTCCCCGTCCCGCACCTGTGAGAAATTTCTCATTATTTAATTTAGAAAGATTCAATTAACTGTGAAACAAAGGAACTTTAACAGCAAGGAAAGGTTTATTCAGCACGTGCTGGGTCTCATCTAACACCGAGTTCCCGGGGAGAAAAAGACCCCTTGGCTTTAAATTTTATACATTTTATAGTTTCACAAAATCCCACCCTTTTTCAGATAAGTTTAATATATTCATTTTTGCCTAAAAAGGTTTCTTTTCTCTGAAAAGGGACTTTTCTTTACTTCTGATTGGCTGTGAGGCATCCTCTGTCAAAAATGATGGATCTTCCTTTGTTGATGGATCTTCCTTTGTTCTTAGCCCAAAGAGAGGAAAGAAACCCCTGTGTACAAAATTTTCCACATGGGCCCGAAAGATTTTAATTTTTAGGAACTTTATATTTCCTTTATCCCGTCTGCAAAAAAAAAACCTAGTACCTAATCCAGTTTGGAACTGGATACCTTACAACTTCACAATGCGCCTATAATTTGGTTTTATAATAACGCTGTATTTTATTTCTCATACACCCATTGTCCCCCAATCCTCAGCGTCCCCGCACTGAGCTGGGGGGACCCACTCCCCTTTTACCCCCCCTCCCC